CATGAGTGATAGTCAGCGCCATCGGGTAACATGCATAAACATAAACATAAGCACAAAACGTTATAAGGTCTTCATTTGTACTCAAGCTTCCAAAGAATCCAATTCATATGATAAAACTTCCACTTCGAAAGAAAGGAAAGTTTTGCGTGTAAGGCGCAGAATCCGACATATATTTGAAATGTTTTCGGGAACTTCTTGTGCGATCACTGTTCGATAAGGGATTTTGATGTGGCATAAACAGCTAAATCTCATAATGATGGTGTCGTTGAAAACTCCATGTATGTTAGAAATAGGTGTAGCTGAGCAACTGCTGCTTTTATTTGGAATATCGTTCATGAATAAATAACCAATTTTTTTAAAAATGAAGTTTGAAATACCGCTAATATGATATCTTTCGGCACCAAATAATCTACAGCTAATTATTTCCCGATAAAAGATGTATGTGCAGCCGTAGCTGAAAGTTGGTCAAGCAATTTTGAAGAATAGCGGAAGTTTTTCACCGACTTTCTATTATCTTCCTTCATTTCCATTTAACTATAAGTGCCTTTTTATGTTTTAAATTGAACACATATCACATTGCTATCGTCACTCCCAATTCGATGATGTTATGATCGCTGCCTGAAATCAGGAATCAATAGCTCTATTATATATATATATATATATATATACATTTATTTATGTTTTTATCTCTCGGTGTCAATAATCGAATGGGAATGTAAGGACTAAACTTGAGACAAAATTTTTTTACTCGAGAATATCTTTTTTCTTATGGAAGTCGCTCTACTGATCGTTTTTGGTTGAATATGCTCTGCCATCGTTGCTTATAGTGTCAGTGCATGTACAATCTATTTGATGCAGCTCCCTTGATTTGACCACAGCGTGTGAAGTCGATTAAACACGTCAGACAGTCATCGTGCTGCTTTTTTCTTCTCTTTTTATAAGTGTTTTACATGTGAATAAATGGAGTTAACAGGTGGATTTCAGGTACTGTAGTTCCTTAGCGGAATTGCGGACACCTTAAATTTGGCCCCTATATTAAGCTGCCGAATGTCAACACCAGTTCAAGAAAGCGATCCCCCACCTGTGGAGGCGAAGGCTTCGGGGGATCAACAGGAGCAGAAAAATGCCACAGCCTCCCAACCGAAGGTGGCGTTTCGATTCATCATCAGTGATTTTTCATTAGGACAACGTCCTTTCTAGCAGAACCATCGTCATCGCCGTCGTTCCAACACTAAAGGTGAAGCGGATGGTGTAGATTCATCACGTAGCGCAAGTCGAACAAACAGTCAATCGGGAAATAAAGGTGTGGAAGTGCAATTTAGTGGTTTTCTTTTTAATTTTTTGATTTTGTAGATAAACCACGTCGCAAAGATTGGACAGAAAGGAAGAGCCTAAGCCAGGGTGGCAAGGGCGATGGAGAGAATAAGAATAACCAACAACAAAAGGATAAGGATGCTGCTCATAAGCGAACAAGAAGCTCTAATTGTTAGTTACCGGAAGAATAGCAGTTTGGGTTGAGATGTTTAACGTCGATCGTTTCCCACAAAAGCTAAGCATCGGTTGTTGTAGACAATGTCGTTCATGCGCGGACGCATTTGCTGCTGTTTAGAGCTGATAGAGTTGGGGAAAGAGGGAAGACATTTAAATAGTTAAAGATAGAGTACCATCTCAAGCTGGAAGTTACAAAGTCTTAAATCCTTTTTTTTTTTCATTCGCCGAGAAACGTATTGAAATGTTAATATCTTCTGAACTATAGAATGTTTATATATCACGGAGAAATGTGTTTCTGATCATTGCCCTAGGAGTGTTTTCTATGGCAGCAATTGCTGAGTTGTTGTGGACACATAACTACATGCCTTCCTATAACATTATGAGGGTACTAGAGTCCATCTCTCATTGCAATCTG